ATAAATTATTTTCAATACTGCAAACTACAAATGGCTTCCCTCCCCCTCCCTCCCCCCAGCTTTTAGTAGTTTATATTAGATCAATGCACCTCAAACTAATTGTAGCAAAGGACAAACTTTTATAATTCCCAAATGCCGTGGACTGATTTTTGTAAAATATAAAATCACACAGTTAGATGATGTGACAATGTCAAATTAAAGTTTCTAAATGCTATGTTCACGCTTTGTATTTATCTTGTCTCAGATGGGCACTGGTCCATACATTCTACTTTGAGTAGCCCTGATAGTCCTCACCTTCAGATTCAGATACTTTGCAAGATAAATTTTCTATTCTGATTAATATACTTGATTTTATTTTTGAGCTTCACTTCAAAATCAACTTTTATACAGCATAGTAAATACTAGTGCTAGTATAGTTAATAATATTGAAGTAACACTGTATGGTGCCAGGTGTGTACTTGAAATGTCAGGGGAACACTTTGTAAAGTACATGATTGTCTAACCACTATACTGTACACCTGAAATTAATACAAAATAATATTGAATGTAAACTATAATTAAAACTAAAATTTAAAAATTTTAATTAAAAAACAAAATGAACTTTTAAAAGTAGAAGAGCCAATCAATCATTTCCCCAATATATTTGGTTACATGTTTCCCAAAAGTATTGATCTTTCTATTTTTCAAAATATAATAATCACTAATTTGTTTCATAAAATCAAAACTGAATAAAAAATACTTTTAAGAAAGAAAAGAAAGTTTCCTTGAACTCAGTGAGTCACAAGATGGTCTCTTGGTCACACAATGCCAGCAGCTCTACTTCTCAAACTGCCATCATTAGTTTCTAGCAAACCTGACCTCAGCCAGGACCACACTGATCCTGGGCAGAAATCCACCAACCCAAGAAAGGTAAAAATAAATAAATAAATAAATAAATAAATAAATAAATAAAAATTTACTTTCCCCACCCTGGTTGGCAGTCTGCCATCAACCTGTACATTTTGGATTTAAGACACAGACTATATGCAATAACTGGAGTAGCTATTATATAAGCTGGTTATGCCATATGCTTTCTACTGGCATCTCTTACAGTTTGAGTATAAGAAAATTTTAGTTTTAGCACTTTTTTCTGAAATAGGCTTCTCTTATTTTTAGTGGGTTTTAATTACTTTGAGAAGAAGTTAAATAAAAAAAATACCAAAATATATTTTCTCCAGGGAATTAAAAAAATTAAGTTTATGAGAAAACATGAAATGTGGGGAAATATTAAATATAGTAAACTACACAAATGTAAGATATGTTACACGCTGGGCTTTTTATGATCTAAAAATGTATTCCAAGAAAAAGAAAAATTGAAATACGAAGACTTATGAGCTTGTTTCAAAAATAGTAAAAATAAGTTCCAGCTGGTGAGAACATGGTAAAGGTACAACACAATACCAGGTAAATAATAGCACAGGATGGGTGAGGGTTACTTTAAATGCAGAACATTTTACACTGCTTTTAAAAGGGATTTCTACAAAAATAAGAAAACATAAATATATGTGTGTGTGTGCAAATGTTTGTTTGTGTGCATATATATACACCGTATTTTTCGGACCATAAGACGCTCCGGACCATAAGACGCACCAGTTTTTAGAGAAGGGAAATGAAGAAAAAAAGATTCTGAAACAAATAGTGTCCTAAAATATTTTATGTGCATTAAAACCCAACATCACAGTCATAAACACATGTAATCAACCCTGTAAAGTAAACAGCAGCATTTAGAACCATTTTCGAGCCAGGCAAGCACACAGAGACCACACAGAGCCGGGCAAGTAAAAAAACTTTTTTTTAAAAGTATATGTGTAGGCTATATTTGGACCATAAGACGCAGGGACTTTTTCCCCCCACTTCTGGGGGGGAAAAAGTGCGTCTTATGGTCCGAAAAATACGGGGTGTGTGTGTGTGTGTGTGTGTGTGTGTGTGTATATGCAGAAAATGTATGGAAACAATATATCAGATGAAGTTTTCTTTACACAATTTTCCAAGCAAAGCACATGGCCAATGGATTAATCACTAATGAATTTAAGCACATGAATTAATCACTAATGAATTTTTAAAAAGTGAACAGATTACTAGCTCCTAAAGCTGGTTATTTTGTTTTCAAATGTTTCAATGAGCCAGGTGTTTCATAAAAATAGCTTTTATTATTTCAAATGACTTATGTAGCTAGAATGCCCAACTTTTATTTCCGTATTAAAATTTAAGAGTTAAAAACCGTTAACAAACGAATATGCAGTTCAGTTAGCAGTCACTGAATGTGAAAAGAGTTCTTAAAATGCTCTTCTTCAGAGCCATTCTCGTTCCCATAGAAACCAATGTGAGATTCTGGAAAACAAGGTAAGTTCTAAAATAATCACCATTATAAATACCCATTATATAAATGTAAATACAGGCAATTGAAATGATTTAGATGATTTTGAAATTGCATATCATTTCCCAAACCATAATGATTCCTTCTGAGTGGTTCTTGTCTGTCATATAAATATAGCATTTACAAAATTTTTAAAATTCTTATGATTTACTTGTGAGACCATAATCGCCTTTTCAAACAAGTCTTGGGCATGCAAATATAGATTTCTGAACATGAATTCTGGTGCAAGATGGCTAGGCTTTTACTTTGTGGTAGATTAAGTACTTATCATTAGCATTTGGATTTTATATAACTGTTTCTTTATTCATTATAAATTGCTCTGCATGAGACTAGATATTTTAAAGTATTATTTTACAATTATGATTTTTCACATTTCTATTTGCCCAAGGATTTTGTCATGATAAAAGAGCCAAGAAATCTTCTCTTACTGGGTTTGTAATTCCTTTCAAAGTCTAGAATTGATCACTGAGTATAGACTACTCGTAATACTAAATGAAGCTGTGAGTTGTTCACAGAGCTATATTTCTCTAAGAAGAGCTAAGCCCCTAATGTTTAAGAAGCAAGAATATATCAGAGGAAAAATTCCAATTGTGAGAAGCAAACATTTGAATTTGATATAGATGTTGAAGGAGTTCTGGGCATGCCATCCCAAAATATGCTGCTTTAGTATATTGATTACTTTGAGCTGAAGGTTCTTCTTCTTCTTTTTTTTAAATATATTTTATTGATTTTTTACGGAGAGGAAGGGAGAGAGATAGAGAGCTAGAAACGTTGATGAGAGAGAAACATCGACCAGCTGCCTCCTGCACACCCCCTACCGGGGATGTGCCCACAACCAATGTACATGCCCTTGACCGGAATCGAACCTGGGACCTTTCAGTCCACAGACCACTGAGCCAAACCGGTTTCAGTGAGCTGAAGGTTCTTGAAAAATAACAAACACAGGGAGAGGTCTATTCACCCTATTTGCCTAAAGACAGATCCTCCAAAAGAACCTCAATTGTCATTAAACTCCTCCCCAGGACTGACTCATCACTGGGAAGGAGACTAGAAGTCGACTCCACATCCAGACACGTTTTTTCCACAAACTCGGATTGTTACCCTCATAACCAGCTAGCTAATATTAATAATAGGAAAGGAGCAGAAAAGAGGTCATAGCATGGTCATCTGCGCAGCTTCACCAGGAAGCCGCCACTTTACACTCCCTGGAGTCACCAGTCCACCCTCATAGATCACTGGAGAGGGGGTCCAACAAAAGGGAAGAGGCAGCATGTGCAGTCAAGTCCGAGTGACGTACTTGGGAACAAAGATCATTGGCTAGAGGGGTGGAGCTATTGCAAGCCTGCAAAAGTTGGGGAATACATAATCCCAGACAAAGGAATTATCTCCTTCTGGTTCCTCTTGCTTTGCTCCTGCTTCATGGCACTTGCCTGTTATGTGGCCCTAGAAACTGCATGGCCAATGACCATGCAGACCCCCACATGCAATGGACTGCTGCTGGGAACACAAGCTAAAGTAGCCAGATGCTGGACTGGACTATGCATCTATGGAACAAAACTCTGGGCAATGGCTTTGATCTTAGCTCTGTTCAGGTACCGTGTGCAAACAAGGTTCCTCCCCTCTCAGAGTTTATACCCCAGTATATTTCTTGGGTATGATACCAAAACTATAAACAACAAAAGCAAAAGAAAGGCAAATGGAACTACATCAAACTAAAGAATTCTGTACAGCAAAATAAACAAACATCAGAGTGGAAAGGCAACATATAGAATGGGAGAAGAATAAACTATACATAACTGATAAGGGGCTAATCTCCAAAATATATAAGGAAATTCTATAACTCAATAGCAAAAAACTAACAGCCCAGTTAGAAAATGGGCAAAGAACTTGAATAGACATTTCTCACAAGAAGACATACAAGTGTCTAACAAGTGTGCAAAAGATGCTCAGTATCATGAATCACCAAGTAAATGTGAATCAAAACCACAATGAGATAATACCTCATATCTATCAGAACGGGTATTAGAAAACAAACAACCAAAAACAAAATGTAACAAATCCCTAAAAGGTAACATGTACTGGTAAGGATGTGGAGAATCTGTCAACTCTAATATATTGTTGGTGACAATGTAAAATAGTGTAGCCACTAGGGAAAATAGCATGAAAGTGTCTCAAAAAATACGACCAGCAATCCCTTATCATTTATCCAAAGGAACTGAAATCAGGATCTTAAAAAGATATCTGCGCTCCCATGCTCACTGCATCATTATTTACAATAACCAAGGTATGAAAACAACCTAAATGTCCATTGACAGGTGACGGACAAAGAAAATGTGATCTATACATTCAATGGATTACTCAGCCTTTTAAAAGAAGGCAATTCTGTGCTAGTCAACAACATGGATGAACTGGGAGAACATTGTGCTAAATGAAATAACCTGATCACAGAAGGACATAAGTAGCACAACCAAAGTCACTCAAGTAGATGATTCTACTCTGAGTGACTATGGAGCCTAAGCTTTTCATTGTCACTGAAAGGACATCATAGTATTGCATTCTCAGTTTTTCATGGCTGGCTAATTACCTGTGTCCTTCCGAAGTCAAAACGAAGATGCCTTTGAAATTGGTCCTTTCTCCAGATATTGGCCATTAAGCAGCCCCTCACCATTTCTTCCTGGACAGAGATGGATACAGAAAGGTCAGCCTCATGCGATCCATCCTGCCTACTTATGTAATGGTTACTCCACAGCAAACAAAGATTCGGGTATGTATTTGTGATGTAACTAATACCATGTGGATCTCAAATGCAACTTCTAGAAAGGAAAAGATTTGCCTGAAACAAATGGAATCATCTACTATAAAATCTGCTACTTATTTGATTTGCTTTGATGTTTAATATAATCAACCAATGACTGACATGATCTGATATGAAGGTAAAGGCATAGTTTTTACTCCAATGCTTCTCACTAGAATTGTGGATGGTTCCTAGCCATAGAGAACTATGTCAACCCCAAGGTTTGAATTTCTCCTTTATTCTACCTGTTTGACCTTTGCACTTCTGTCTACATTTATGTTTTGCCATTTTCCCAGGTGTATACCTTTAGTAGTGTTAGAAAGAAATGATTCTGAAGATTTGTGTGTGAACTGTTCGCCTTTCCACACAATGAGATGGTTTCCTATCTTTAACAAAGGCCTTAGGATATAATAGCTCCACCACTTACTTTCCTCAAATATAAAACAAATTTAAATTTTAAGTACTCACTAAATAGGACTGTTGTGAGGAAGATTCAATAAGTAAATATTCAGAAAGGGTGCAGCATAGTGCCTGATACAAAGTAAGCACTAAATACATGTTGGCTACTGTTATTTATATTATTAACTTGTGGAGGGACTGGCTTCCTCACAAAGTATCACCAAGATGTCATCTAAGAAACAAAATCCACATTTAGAAATTTTTAGGACTGGTATGAAAGATCTGAGACAGTTAATAATAACTAACATATATTGATCACATTACACTATGTACATTATATAATCTCATTTAATTTTCTCTATAACTCTGCAAGTAACTAAAATATACTTTAGAGAAATGAAGTAATTTGCCTAAAATCCCTCTTTGGTAGAAATTCAGCATGGACTTATAGCCTGGTCCATCAAATATGTATTCTTATATGCTCAATGTAATGAAGCAATAATGCCTTCAATGCCTCACACATTAATAGCTATCATTTCTCAAAGTTTTTCCCTATGCCATAACCATGAAAATGAGAAGTCACTCATTTTAACCATGTGCCACGATGGCTAAAATGAGAGGTTATCCAGTCAATGGTTCCAGCATTTTGTATTTAATGAAATAATAAAATAAAATAAATGGGGACTAAACATGAGGTTGTTTCTCAATTAAAAGGAATACATTCAGTTTCAGGAAAGAAAATCACTCTATTGCTATTGGTTTTTTCTTTTCCTAAGAATTAATAAATCAAATAATAGGCCCAGGAAGTAGAATTTGGGATTCTTGACTCCTTGGACTAATTTTTAATAGCATTTTAAATATTAAAATATACTTCACTATGTTATATACATAACATAAAATTCACCATTTTGAAGTGTACATTTCAGTGGTGTTCAATATATTCCTTCTGTTTTGCAACATCATCACTATCTGCCATTACTATCCTCAATCATCATCATATTAGAAATTAGTTCCATCTCCTTACAGTCATTAATATTTCTGTCTCTGGGCAAATCTTTTGTCTCTGCATAAGATGACTGCTCAGATATGTGATTTAATTTTTATTCTTTGATGTCAAAATCCTACTGCCTGCCCCAAGCTTCAACTTGGTGTGTGGTTCTAGTGGTATATGTAATATGTATGATAGAAGGCGTGATAGAGTGTATAAATCTCTTAAGAGAGCTCTTCAAGGTTAGCAAATGTTGCCAGTAGATGGACTTTAATATGAAGAATATACTACATACTTTCTGCATTTCTATTGTCTACATTCATTACCAACTCCAGATTTTCCCCATAGTCTTTCTTCTTTCATTAATTTGGTACTTATGTAGCATACCAAATTACATATACTTAGAACTTAATTTGAAGACTGTCAATGTTTTTAATAATCAAAACAAGTTAGTATTATGAAGAGTCATCTTATTTTCTTAAAAGTTACATCTAATTTTAGGTTTCCAAATTCTGATCCAAATATGTGCTCCACTTAGTTGCTCCATTCTCCATACACTCATGCTCTTTGTTCACTTCTTAGGCAATTTTAGTTGAAAATAGAGATCCAAATGTATTATTGTGTCATTGTGGCCCATATGTTTCCAGGTCTCTGAGCGGACTATGAGCTACTTGAGGGCTACTTGTCTACACGTTGGACTTTCCAGAACAGTCTCTGGAACATGGACTAAACAAATGCTGTTGAAGAAATGGAATTTCAACACAAACACACACATGTAACAAAACTTACAATTATTAATGTACATTTCATTATATTATGCAATATTCAACTATATTACATATAATGAGATAGTTTTATGTAGATCACTGCATTCCAAATATTAGATATCTTAAAAAATTCAAAATGACATATTCTGAACGCCATAGGATATATGTATTTCGCTTTGATGTAGCATTATTTTGGAATGACCTGTAAGGTAGTTATTACACTTGCTATTAATCGGGTATTCACCACAGTGTAACTACAAGATGGAGGAAACGCTGAATGGGAAAACTTGGAGATTACAGTCAGGTGAACCAATCTGCATTTGGGCTGTCTAACACTATCTGAAAGAATGCCTTTGGCCATTTCCAAACCTGAATATTCTGGGATGTGCATGTATTTAGTACCGTGCCTAGCGAATTGGTTTAAGGAGGGAGCTAACCTATGCTAAGGGCCTGGCATTTTAAGCAGGCCGTTCATGAATCTTGGTGGTGGCCTCACCCCTCAGATTTGAATATTTTATTTTTTATTTTTTTTTTACACATTATGAGTCTTTTCTTGTCACGGAAACCTACCCTGACATCCAGTTTGTCATTTCAGAGACTCGCGTTAAGGCCGCAGAGGTACAACACAGACAAGAACACGAGCAGCCTTTCCAACTGAAGGGCTGCTAACCCCACAGGAGGCGCGCGGCGGACCTCCAGTATCCCAGCATTCCTCGCGCCGCCCCTGCCGCTCTGCTCCCACGTTTCTATGGTAGAGCGCGCTCGGAGGCGGCCGCGGCGGCCAGGGGTGAGGGCGTGTGGGTCCAACTTTCCCGCTGGCCTGAGAGGGTCGGGGGCGCGGAGGGGCCGCGATGTCCGAGAAGAAGCAGCCGGTAGACTTGGGCCTCCTGGAGGAGGACGACGAGTTCGAGGAGTTCCCTGCGGAAGGTGAGCGGCGGGGCCCCGGCCTCGTGGACGGTGACTCAGGCTTCGGGTTGGAGAATGCGGGGCCGCGAGGGCCGGGCCCAGCGGCGTCCGCGGGAAGTTTGGACCCGGCGGCCGGCGCTGGAGGCTCTGCGAGCGCGACCCTCCGCGCACCCGGCTTCGGGCGCTTCGGGCTCGCCGGGGAGGCTGAATGCCTTCTGCTTCCTCGTTGGGAGGAGCCGTGGTGAACCTACCCCCCCCCCCCCCTCCCCGACGCCGACTCCGGTGTCGGGGATGGTCGGTCCTTTTCCTCTTCTGCCGGCTACCTCGTTCTTGACTCCGTCTCTTTTCCCCTTTATGTCCTTTGGTTCGGCCGCCCTCCTTTGCCTTCACCCCTTCCAGAGTGGTCGTTTCTGCTCAGGCCAGTGCTGCTGACTTATGTAGGACATTACCGATGATGAAGTGTAATTGAATGTTCAGTGGGATGGGAGGGGTCAGGTGTTGGTACTTAAGCTACCACACGTGTTATTGTGTTACTCTTGTTCCTCACTCATTTTTGATTACTTAACTTTGAACTAATCTAAGTGTAAGGATTTTTTTTTTTTTAGGACCCTAAAATTCTATATTTTGATTAGTTTCATGGTTCCCTAGAGGAACGAATCCGTTGTCACAAATCTAGCCAGAAGGTACTGATATTTACAATTTTTCAGATAGACACTGAAGCTTGGAACAGTTTGAGAAACTTCCCAGGGTCACATAACTGGCAAGAATTGATGGGCAGCTGGCCCATTTGACCCCAGAGTTCTTAAACTCCTTCGCTGTTTATTTAGTAGATTTGGTTAGATTTGGTTCTGTTTGTTTGTTAGATCGTTGTGGTTACTTAGATTTCCCCCCCCAAAATTATTTACTTTATTGGCTGTTATAGTTAGGATAGATATTTGTCTCATAAGAAAAGGGAGGTTACTATTGGGTAGTCTTTCTGAAGGTGTTAGAAAGAATTGTGGTTAATGGTGTACACATTTGTTACATTAAGCAATTTTTTGCATCACTAAAATTGTCCTAAGTTATATCCATCGTGATTCTATTAAATCATAAAACCACACAGCTGGGACATTTGTTCTTTGTGTATATACAGTACTCTCAGTTGTTTTTTTAATGGAAGAAGGAAGACATTAGTGTGCAGACTACACAAATTCATAAACTAGCCCAGGCACGTTTCTTTTCAATTCTGGGGTTCATTATACATTGTGGAGATTGTTTGCCTTCTGTTTTGTTAGTAGCTTTATCGTCAGACATGTTTTCTTTACCTCACTTTCAAGTTGGTTCATAGTCCTCCAGCTTTGAACTAACTATGCAGTAGAAAACTGACTTATTTAGAGCAGGATCCATTTCTTATTTAAATTTAATATTTCAAAACAGCATTTATTCATTGTTTATCATATACAAGGTGCAATATTAGGCACTTTATTTAAATTAGTCTAATTATCACCACAATCCCGAAGCTTAAAAGATTTGAAAAGCTTGCCATTAAGTTAGTCCCAACCAAGCTATATTTATCAAAGTGCCTAGTACTTTTTAGATGGTCAATAAATGCTTGTTGAATGAGTGAATCTGTATTTAAAATAAGTAGCTGAAAATTGACTGCTTAAAAAGGATCTCGAGATAATTATGTACCTGATGATACATATACATTATTTTTCTCAGCAACTTTCATCTTACCAGCTTTTGCAGAATATGTGGTTTGTTTCTGTTTTATGTTTATGTTGTGAGCAGCAATTTGTTTAAAATGTTTGTAGTTACACAGTAAAAAAATCTCATTAAAGGTAAAAGGAAAAGCAAAGAATATTTTTTTGTGAAGAAAAAGGCCTTCACAATAGACTCGTTTATTAGTATTAAGTAATTCACCATTTATTGTTCAACTTACAAAATATTTGTGGTCTTCAGGTTTGAATGTGTAGAACCTACTTTCATTCAGGAAACTTTCCATTTAGAATGACAAAAACATTTGAAATTACTTTGTTTTGTTCAGGTTTCTGGCTGTTTCTTTGGTTTATAATTCAGTTTTTCTTACATGTTAATTTGAGTTAGTAAGATTTTTCTGGATACAAAATTGGCTTAGGTGAAATCAAATATTTACTAATAAAAACTTCAATAAGTAGCAAAACTGAGTATCTGTCCGAAGTTATATATACATATGCATATAATTTTGTGTGTGTTTATATTTTTTAAATGCACACAGAGAACTATATTTAACATTTCTTCTACTTGTTTTACATTAATGTGTAAACACGTGCCTAAGACATGTAATGCTACTCCTCCATAGGAATGCTACCTCTCCAAGCTCTGCTTGGGCTCTGACACCTCATCAGGACCAGGTACATTTTGAAATTTGATGTATATTTTCAAATTGCCTTTGAGAATGATTATAGTAATTAACAGTCCCATCTACAGTTCACCTTTTTCCTCATTAGGTTGCCTATTTATAACAATAAAAGCATAATATGCTAATTAGACCAGAGAGCTGAATGACTTTCCTGACATCCTTCTGGACAAAGCTTTGGCTGCAAAGGCTGAAACCTTGCACAAATTTTCTGCATCAAGCCTCTAGTATTCCATATTAAACATTTTAGGCATTGTAGACCTGATGGATGAAAAATAGTGCATCATTTTGATTTGGATTGATTTCTTTGTATGAGAGTGACCATTATGTTTTTCATTGAACTGTACCTTCTTAATTGCCAGTTTCTTTATAACTAGAGGCCCATTCATGCACTGGTGGGGTCCCTCTGCCAGGCCTGCAGAGATCGGGCCAAAACCGGCTCTCTGACATCCCCCAAGAGGTCCCAGATTGCAAGAGGGTGGTTCTCAGGTGATGCACCCCAGAATTGGGCTCCCTCCTCTCTGATTCCAGGTGCGTTACCCAAGAACTGCTGCTGCCAAGTGACCACAGTTCAGCAGCTGCTGCATTAAGCATTTGCCCACTGGTGGTCAGTGTACGACATAGCTACTGGCTCGTCATCCGGTCAGCTGTTTGCATGCATATATATTTGAGTAATAATTAGAATCATATAAGGATTGCATGGTTGTGTTAGTCTGCTCAAGCTGCCGTAACAAAATTCCATATTCTGAGTGGCTTAAACAACAGCAATGTATTTTGTCACTTTTCTAGAACCTGCAAAGTCTAAGATCAAGATTTTAGCTGATTCATTTCCTCTTTCTGGCTTTCAGATTGTTGTCTTCTCACTATGCCCTTTCACGGTGAAGACAGCAAGCTTTCTGGTAAATTTTTTTTTATAATGGCATTAATAGTTTCATCATGAGGACTCCACTCATGACTTCATAGGATCCTGATTACCTTCAAAAGGCCTCATCTTCAAGTACTATCAAATTAGGGATTGGGGCTTCAACATAGGAATCTTGGGGCTTGGGGGACACAGACATTCAGTCCATAACAATAATATGCATGCATAAAGTTTGGCATAAAGTTGGTGTTTAGTGAATGCTAGAGCCCTTTCTCTTCTCTCCCCAATCTGTTTAGGGCTTTGGATTTTGGATGATGTTTGATATTTAATTTATTTAGAATTTGAACTATTTTTGACAAATATTTTATTTGTAATTTTAGGTATATACGCAATTAAGTTTGAATTTATGGGTTATTTGATAATTAATTTATTTTCTAGTATTAAAATTTTAAAGTTAAAAATATTGTTAATTTTTTCCAAAAGTACTTTTTAAAATAGTGTGATTATTTACATAAAATATTATAATACATAGAACAGTAGCATACATTGTTTAAGGATGTATACAGATGGACAGAGGTATATAAAAATACAGGAGAATGAAAATCTCCCAAATCAAGATATTGGTGTTTGAGAGGGGATAGTGAGAGGTGTGACCAGGATATATTATGCAGTAAAAACTGCTTAGAAAAATTATTTAATTAGCTCTTTCACTGATTCTGTGGAATGAACAAGCAATAAGCAATCCTGATTTATACGACTCATTGAAAGATGTGGACTGTGAAGCCATTTGGGGGGAAATGAAAGTCTTAAAAGTTATATTTTTCTTCTGAGTTACTAAAAATTCATCAAATAAATTACCTCCCCAGTTTTGTGTTTTGTTATATGTGTAATGCTTGGTAAAAATTGTGTTGTCTTTGTCCTGGGACTTGTTTCTTTTATCTCTTATCACCTTTCAAGTTCCCTGGCAATGATTAGCATATAATAAATTACTAAATCATTGGATAAAAATATATTTGTTGAGTGCTTCCTGTAAATCTGGCACTGAGTAGTGCAGTGAGAGAATGCTACTAACTGACAATTTTTCAATATTAAGTGCTTTAGATACACAGCAGTCTTATGGTTTTATATTTGCGGCTCAGGGAAAAACCAAGGTTACAGTTAACTAGAGGCTGCACTTAGCAAATTTGATTCCTTAGGTAGATATTTGTCTTTGGACTTAATGATATAAATGTCAGTGGAGATGATGGATCAATAGTTTTCATACCAAGCTTGAGCCTTTCAGTATTTTGCAGTTGCTTATCTGGAATGTGGGCCTCCAAATCCTTTTCTCCATACCTTACCCTACCTTCAGTTAAACCATAGTAGCTTTGCATTTGACTGTCTTTATCTGTTATGCTTCTGGTTAGGAGGTTCTTTGGTTTCCTTTCAATTGCTGCTGCTGGGGAAGTGGGAGGGTGATTAATCAATTGATAAAGTGCAACAGCAGTTGAAAAAAAGGGGGAAATATTTCTAAATGTGTACTTCCTGAGATAGCAGCATTTGAACAGTTTTCAAAATACATAAATGTAGGAAAGGGGTTTCCAAAAGAAGGGCAAAGTAGATGCTTGGAGGTGGAAAAAATCAGTGTGTAAATTGTGGCTATGAAATAGTGGTTGCAAAGCAGATAGTTTGGGGCCTGACATGGAAGGCTTTAGCCAAATGACCAGTTTGGACTTTATCCTTAGATAGGTGGGACATGGGTTTTTTTGTTTGATATGTGTGTGTTTTCCTTCAGATAAGCAG